ACAGGTCGTAAGGTGGATATCCGCTTTGGGATGGACCCGAGACCGCGTATCAGCGACAAGAGTCGGGAATACGGAATCGAAAAATTGCAAGCCTTCTCCAATTTGGTACTTCTGCTGCTTTCTTCAGACCTCAGGAGTACAAAATCTCCAAAAGCTGCTACTTGCGGAACCCCCAACGGATCTCACGACACATAGCTTTTACAGAACTACTGCTGAGTGTTTGGGTACTGGAAAACATAGAGAGTTCAGTGACCTGTTTCGGCACCGAAGCTGGCTCATATAGCGTCCCTTCTCAAGTTCTTTGCGCACAGCACAAGAATAAGGTGCCAACTTGAAGTCCAGAAGCAATAATTTTTCGAAGGTAACCAAAACGAAAGGCCGCATTCACCTGCATAAGCTGGGCATGTGTGTATATATCCCACCTCGAATGCGCACCGGGTCGACGTGGTTTGGCTGCTTGACATCGCGCACTTTCGCGAGCATATCCATGGCCATGTGGACAATCCGACTGACGTGGTCGAGCGACCCATCGAGACCAGCCATAACCATGTAAGCGTCGCCGATCGTTTCAACCTGACGTAGGTACAAGAGAACCTCATTCCGTTTTTGCAGCATTATCGTTTGTATCCAGGGAAGATGCAGAGCACACAGGTGCCGAAAGACTTTCGACGTTGAATGAGCGCGATTCGAGAACCAGGAATCCGGTGGGACGCAGAACGAGTAAGGTGAAGTAGAAAATCCTCGTCCGTTTCGCAGAGCTGCCTCTTTCGCCGACACCTTTAGATTGTCCTCAAGACCTGTCCATTTCTAGCTAAATATTTATTGGCTGCACTCACAGAGCAGCAAGGTCAGCTGGCTAGCTGAGTCAAGTCGCACTCGGATTCACTAACAAGACGCAGAGTTACCTTGTGAAGTACTCAGCTACAGACCTGCAAGTGTGACCTAGATTTACGAATTGGCCCCCTCTTTGTGTCAAGTCACGAATCCCTGGCCATGCACATGTGAAGTGATATTGATTGTGTCGCCTACATCTATCAAATTCGCATCTTTCTGCTCAAAGAAGCCTTGCAGTCGTCAATTGCCACCACACATGGCCATTGCCCACTTGCTTTGGATTGAGCATTTTGGTGCAGGATTGGGTGATATAGGGTGCACAGATGTGAAGGGTTTGCTGCAAACCTCTGCCGAACCCAAGGTTTTCTGAACCACGTGATCTGACAACATAAGAGTGGGGGGTGGTAGGTTTTCCGTCGACGCGCAACCTTAGTTGACCGCTTGTTCTGACTAGAGCTCATTGCGCGATCATTTCGGGATCTTGCTTCCGGAAAATTGCGTTTCCTGGAAGCTTGCACCAATGAGGACGCAAGCGCGCCTGCCCTTTTTTGGGGAGCTTTATTGGGCGCTCTGCCATGTACTTGGAAGACCTTGTCAGGCCACGTAGGCTCGGATGAGACAAACACATAACTCTACAGATACTGTACAAGCTTTTGCTCTCCAACCAGAACCAACCAGATTTAAAATGTACTTTTCTCTGGACTGTTTGATTCCACTCCCGCGGCAAATGGCGCCGCGCTGCTGCTCGCAATCTGCCTATACAATCGTTGCGCCCATTCGACGTCGCTCACGACGCCAGTCTGCGCATCATCAAAATGATCATTTGCGGCCGTATCGCGCTTGTCTGCCGCCATACGGAACAGCCGCATCGCCTCCTCAACATTCCGGTCGACTCCCACCCCGTAAAAATAACACAGCCCAAGGCAAGCTACACCGCCCGGCTCCCCCGCGCTGGCCGCCGCCTGGTAAAACGCCACCCCCCGCTCGACGTCCCGCTCCACCCCCACCCCCATCGCGTAACAGTCCCCCAGTTTCACCTGCGCGCGCGCACAGCCCCGGTCGCTCGCTTCCCGGTACAGCTCGGCGGCATTGACGAGGTTCTTCTCGACTCCTTCGCCGCGCGCGTAGCACTCCCCCAAGTGCGCGAGCGCCGGCGCGTGCCCTTGGCGGCCTGCGCGCTCGAGCCACTCCACTGCGGTTTGGGCGCACCGGTCGACTCCAGCCCCTTGGGAGTAGCACCACCCCAGCCCCGCCTGCCCTTCCGCGTTTCCCTGCTCGGCCGCAAGTCGGTACAACTCTGCAGCCCGCTCTAGTTTCTTCTCGACCCCGGACCCATCCCGGTAGCACCCCCCGAGCGCGGCCTGCCCCGCGGCGCTCCCCTTGTCGGCCGCGGATTCGAGCAACCGGATCCCGAGCGCCGGGTTCCGGCCCACCCCCCACCCGTTCAAGTAACACTCTCCCAGGCTCGCCTGCCCGGCGGACTCTCCCAATTCGGCCGCGCACCGGAAAAAATCGACGGCGCGTGCGGGGTCCTGAGTGACGCCAAGCCCCTCGAAAAGGCAGTGTCCCAAGTTCACGAGCGACGCCGCGCTGCCGCGCTCCGCCGCCCACTTGTAAAACTGGATTGCCTGGCTGTAGTCCTGTTCGACGCCCCGCCCGCTTTGGTAACAGATCCCCAAGGCCAGAAGCGCGGTCGGGTGGTCCCGCTCCGCGGCCTGGCGGTACAATTCGACAGCGCGCCCCAGGTTTGGCTCGACGCCTTCCCCGCGCTGAAAGCAGAGCCCGAGGCTGACCTGCGCACGAAATGGAAGCAACGGTTCCGTTACAGTTTCCAAAGTGAGTCCTTTACAAAGGGAGAATATCGCGGGTGATTGAAGCCGCTACCTGGATGGCCGGGCTGCTTTGCCTTGTCAGGGTTGCTGCTCCTGATCAGCCCGACTTGTGGCGACATAAGAGCCGCACTGCCCGTTCCTCGGTCGCCTGGGTACGGATGTACTCCCCACCCTCGCAGTATCAGCTGTCCTTTTTAAGGACTCGTGTTTCCGACTCTCGAAGCAGCCTTTTTGACCAAAAAGTCTTATTGTAGCACCCTCCCTGAAGCTGAAGCTAATGACGAGTCCGAACAGACGTCCAAATGTTTCTTCTGGAGAAGACGACATCAGGAATGTTGGAAGTGTTCAATAAGCATAGGTCGCGAACAGACTGGTTCGAACGGCAGATATTTCACGGATCGGCCCCTCATCTGGGGCGATCTCGGCTCCTCGGTCTGTACGATACTGGGCTCGGATCTGTGGCAATTACAATTGGTTGCTGGTTTTGATTCACGCTCGTCCCAGGACTCATCAGAACAAGATTGGTATGTTCACAGTCCAGCTATGCAAGCCAGCCCTCGATCAAGTGTAAGTCGGTGGAATATACCCAGAAAGCTAAGATTCAGCCTCGGAGCAGGCATCTCCAAAATTTGCAAACCGGTTGCGTTTCCAACAGACTGACTGTTCAAGCTCCGAAACTAGAGCATGTTGTTCTCAGGGATGGAACATCATGGAACAGAGTATGCACAAGCTTTGACGTTCTGCACGAAGCGAGACACGATACTGGTCCGTTCCCGAGTCACTTCAGTCGGACTCGTATCTACAGCACAGAGTCTAAACTTCGTTCAGCCAATTCTACTAAAGTCGGCCCTGAAGAAAGTTGCCAAATTGAATTTCCCGCGCCCCCTCACCTGTGCGGTTGCCTGCCCCTGCGCAGCGGCCGCAGCGTACAGCATGGCCGCTCGCACCACGTCCTTCTCGACCCCCTCTCCCCGGTGAAAGCATACACCCAAGCTAAGCTGCGCTCCCGGATGATCCCTCTCCGCAGCCTGCCTGTACAATTCCGCCGCGATCCCTGTATCCTTGTCCACGCCTAACCCCCCCGCGTAACACAACCCCAGATTGAACAGCCCCGACGCATATCCCTTCCCTGCGGCGCCCCGGAACAACTCCACCGCTCTGGGGGGGTCCTTCTCCAGGCCCCGCCCGTGCAAAAGGCACACCCCCAGATTGACGAGCCCCGCGGGGTGGCCCTGCTTTGCGGCGTCCTCGAACAATGCCGTCGCGCGCGAAAGGTCTTTCTGCGTCCCGAGCCCTTTCTGGTAGCAGAGCCCAAGGTTCACCTGTAAAGTAGCGGACGGTGTCAGCAAACCTGCGCTGAAAAGCACGGCTGGTGCGAGGGGGCGGTTCGCATGGGGCACCAATCACATGCGGCCATCTGCATGGGGCACCGCTCAGCATACAAACAGACTAGGTAAGTGGGAGGAGAAGAGAAAGGGAAATGCAAGAGAGAAGGGGCTTAGGAGGAAGCAAGGGTGACAAGAGAGAGAAGACACAGTGGCCCCTCAGCTTGAAGCACCTAACCGACTTAGCTTACAAGCTGACCCCAGAAAGCCAGCTTATTTGGCCCCACCTGTGCGGTAGCACTCCCCTGTTGCACCGCCGCGCGGTACAGACAGAGCGCCTTCTGCAAGTTGCGCTGCACGCCCCTCCCCAGCTGGTAGCAAGACCCGATGCACGCTTGCGCCGAGGGATCCCCCTCGTCGGCCGCCCTCTGAAACAGCCGCGCCGCGTGCGCCTCGTCTTGTTCCACACCGCTGCCGTGAAAGTAACACCCCCCGAGCGCCACCTGTCCTGCCGCGTCGCCTTTCTTAGCGGCAGTGTCAAACAGCCGCACGGCTTCCTGCACATCCTTCTGAACACCCCCTCCGGTTTGGTAACAAACCCCCAGGCTCACTTCAGCGGGAGAGCACCCGCGCTGCGCAGCCCGCTCGAAAAGCCTCACCGCCCTTTCCTGGTCTTTGGCTGCCCCCCCCAGACCGCAGTAGTAGTAAAGTCCCAACTGGAACTGCCCCCCAGGGTCCCCCGCCTCAGCAGCATTTCGTAATCGGTCGAGAGCTTGCGCATCAGAGTTCCGCTGGCCCCAGGCCAGCACAAATTGCCCCGAAGCATCCAATGGGCTCGGCTGCTCTGTGGCGTAGTCTATTTGGTAGCTAGCCATCTGAAGAGACGTTTTGTAGTGCCGCCTCCCTTAAGCTGAAGCAAGGGGCTCTAAACCCACGGCATTGCGCTGCTCTGGGGCGCAAGCGGCAGCCACATGTACGTGACTCACTTTGCTTCAAAGATCGCGCATCAGACAAAATCCGGGAGCGAGTTGAGAGGCTTAGGACTTTCACGACGTCTGACTTTGTATGGCATTTGCATTTCACTGTATCCCTTATGATATTTGTGCCCAATCTTGGAAGCGTCACGCACCATCATTGCAGCCTTCTTCCGAGGCTGCAAAGGGGCCACGGAGTCATGATGAGTGCAGTTGACCAGCGGGTAAAGCTGATGCTGGCATTGGTGATCGCCGCCAAGCTAGGACTTTGGCGCCTGGTGGTGGCATTCTACCTCGCTACCATTTCAGACGTACTTGCTACCAGCTGAAGTATTGAAGGTCTGCCAATTCTCGGAAGAATTGGCAGGAGTCCTGCGCTAAGCCGTTGGAGACCCAACCTCCAGTGAATGTGCACAGCCCATGATGAGCTCATAAAGGGAGATCTGCACAACGTTATCCAGAATCGACCCCTGAGCTGCGCAAGATGTATTTACACTGTAAGAAAACCTGAGCTTTCCTTTTCTAAACGTCCAGCTAGCTACCTAGATTTTGCATATGCATACATATGACCGTATGTGGGCGACATACCGGTCCTATATATACATATGCCACTCCTTCATGTCGACTTTTTCCTGGAAGGATTGGAACTTCAAACTCCCCTGTGCACTGCCACTAGCGTTCAGAGCTGTCGTTGCGATTCGCGAAGCTCGAACCACCACTCCAGCCACGTCGATGTTTCGAATTCTACCTAGATCAAGGATCTGTCGAGATTCAGGAGATGCTCAGAAGTAATTGTGATTGGCGGAGCTAGTACAGCCAGCTAAGCCATGGTCATGTGAAGTCCACAACCTGACACTAGTACTGTGGGGACACTGTGAGGCACCGGAGCCTGACAAACTTGACTAGGTAGATTCTAGCGAATCGCAATGTCGTTGAGTACGTAGGACTACAGTGTAGGATACACAGCTGCGGCCTCACCGCTCAGGATTCAAGTTTACCAGGTATGCCAGTGTCAGTGGCAGGAACGGAGGGAGATTGTGACAGTTCCAAAAGCAACGTGTAGGACGCGGTCTGCACAAGGGATTGCCACAAATTCTGCCGTTCCAAATCCTAGCAGGATCCGTCAGGACTTCCGAAGTTTTCGGGTCTTCCAAGAAGCTCTGATCGAAGCCGGCAATCCTGTCAGAGAAAGTCAGACGTAAGACTTCGGCCGCCAAAGGTTTCCAGTTGCGAACCAGGAATACAGATTTATGCGGCTTGAAGTTGCAGGGATCCGCCGACCCAGTTTGGACTCTTGGTGTGGCGCCATTTAATGCATACCGACCTCATACCGACGTCCTACCGACGTTTACCGGACCCCCGGGCCGCGGTACCCATCATGCCATCAATTCTGGTTGTAAACCAGAGTCTGACCAAGTCTGACACCATTCTGGAATGATACCATTCTGGAATGACACCACTCAACTCGGGTACGTACGTACCGTAATCCATTCTACGGTACCTAGTGCCCTTCTTCCAGGTGCACCTAGATACCGTAGTACCGTACCGATTGTCCGCTTGGGCAACAATTAAATATGTTTTGACTTGCCCAAAAATTTGAATGTAGAATAAATTCGAATTTCAAATCTGCAAGTCAATTTGCCCCGTACAAAAACGAAATAAATTAGTAAAATGAAGCTGCCCAAATTCCAGAGCATACGAAATTAATTATTGGACAAAAATCTGCCCAACCGGACAATCGGTACGGTAGATACCGTAGTCCACCGTTGCTCAGGCAATCACAGTGGTATAGGTACAGGTGCCACGGTGGTACTGTGGCAAGTACCTACCGTACGACTAACGAGTTTCAGTACCTACCTGACACGTCAGATGTGTATTTCGGACGGTACGATACAGGGGTTCTAGCAGGAATTTGCCCGGAGGCGCTTGGGCGCCCCGGGGCGCCGCCCCGAGGTGCCCAGCCGCGACCCTGGGGCGCTGCCGGCCGCCCTGCCCAGGTAGGATGGGGCCTCCGATGCGCTTCGGGCCGGGGCGCACTGGCGCCCCGGGCTGATGCCCGGGGGCGCCAGGATCTGCCCGGGGGCGCTCTGCGCCCCGTTTGGTATGTTTTGCAGGTACGGTACCTACAGTAACCTAGGTAGTACGTAGGTAGGCCTACAGGCTACGGTGACCGGTCGCCTACCGGATTCAAACCTGTTTCGAAACCATCGTACGTTACGTACAGCTTGGTACGGTACCTTAGTATGTACCTACATCATACAATTAAAGGGTAAAGTTTAATACTACCTACCGTATGAGGATCTAACTTCTAAGAGCTATGAATAATAAGACACGCCCGGGAAACGGGTGGGGTTGGCATGGTGGTTAGGGTGGGTTCGGATGCGAAGCGCTTCATGTCTGTTGGTTAGAGTTTTCAGTTAGGGTTTTTATGCCGGGTACTTTCTTATAGGTATTGAATCCTAATATAGGTATTAAAGTTGAGTATACGGTAATTCAATGGTACCTTGGTGGGATTGCTCAAAATGGAATCTGCAGACTGATATAGGTACACTCATGCCAGCATGAGACATACAGTTGAGTAGTTGAGTATAGTAGTTGAGCGTCTTCAATTTTCCAGAGTAGGAATCTTTCCATGATCAAGCCTTCTCCACGATTGAATCCGTTCATTGTTCAATGTTCCATTAGCTTCAATGGTGTGATGCGAGGAGGAATGGTTGCTCAATTACTTTAGCTCTGACGTGGGGCCCGCAGCGATTGGGAGTCTATCCAGCGCACTGTATGCTCTTTGGTTACGGGTCCCAGCCTCAGGTCATCTGCCAAAACCAATGGCGCCAATGAAGAACACTGGAAAAAATATGAATATAAGATGGTGCGCCTGAGCCCCATATGAGCAGGCTCAACCTGGCGTTTGCTTCAACTGGGTCCTTGCTCCCCTGCACAAGAACAGACAGAATGGTTGCATATTATTTGTGCCAACACATGCCGCCGCATATCATCAGGGTGACTGATATGTGCAACTCCTCAATGCCAACTCCTGAGAGCAACCTGAGGACGCCTTACTCTGGGTGTTGAGCTGGCGTCGTCATGACAATTGGCATTGCGATTCAGTGAATTCAGCAATAAAGATGCAGTCAGGTGGGGGCATACCGCAGCACGACGTCGTGGCTGCTGCTCAGCAGGTTGAGCGTAGCAGTGGTCATGGGAGCCTTGCGGACTTGCTCCTGCACAAGAAGTATGCGG